TTGCACGACAACGGAATTGAGAGTAATAATTAAACAATAATCTAAAACTAAATTTCACAAAATAACAGATTTTGGGCTAAGGTGTGAGGTCGTGTGAAGTGATCGTTTTTGGCAGTGTAATTTCTGCAACAGCCTACAATGTAGGCCAAGATAAAACCCCATATGACACGATCCACAGTCTACTGGCAGGTACGTGGAGTCCTTCTCTATACCGTTGCCAAATGATGTGGTGGAAGGGAGAAATTCACTCTCAAAAGCATCTCCCCCAAGTCTCCCTACGTGTCCAGTGAGTCGCAACCGGACAGCTGTTATAAAATAGTCGGAGGATTATAATCTGCGTGCCCTGATTGGCAACAAGGCACCGAATCAAGATTAATTTCGAATTGTTAAACAAATAGAGGCAATCTGATTATGCGAACTTATTGAAATATGGACTCTGCAAAACCGAAAAAGGAGTTGGTAGGAAACACGTATGGCTTAAACTTTGCCTGAGGTCAAGGTCATATTGGGGGTCAGGGGGTTGTTATAAGTGCCCAATTTCAAGGTCGACTGCTCCACCTTCGCGGGCTGGACGACTAATCAAGGGCTCCTGTGCGCTACTTCTGAGGAGAGCCTACTTTTCAGTGTGACAAACCTTATGTGCGCACCGAAGAGATAGAGAGACAACAGCAGTAGATACTTTTTCTAAGCATTTTAAAGACAAAATGGGATCAAACGAGATCCTTACCACGAAAGAGAGGGTTACACGCTTACTTTTGATGTTTGTATACTTCACTTCATGAGGCGCGTGGCGTACAGCTGATAGTTGGCAGCCGTGAAACCGACGAACTGCATTGCAGTATGACGGGCGGGGTCTCCACAGGCTGTTTTCGTAAGTGCGTTTCTAGTCATCAAGCGTTAAACGACCCAGGGAATACGGCAGTTCCAGCAGAACCTATTGACGAACGAAAACCCGCCACACACACGTATCTACGACACACGAAGAAAACCTACTATAGTCGTTTAAGTAGGTCGTCTACATTGCGAAAACTAAATCCGGAATAAATACTAGCAAACAAGCACCTTTCACTCGCACAACCGGCAGTTACTGCCCTATGCCCCCCAGAAGGCCAAGCACTCGAGACCAAGTTAGAGTTCGAGCTGCCCTACGGCGTATGAGTCCTGGTCAGGAGGGGGTTTCCAATTCCACTTTAAGCAACAGTAAGGTGTAGCACTCCAACTAACTTGAGGTAGGCTGTGGACCGTGTCCTATGTTGAATGATCGTAGAGAGGGTTTTACTGGTAGGGCAATATGCAGGACGAAGAGTGAGCGGAATGCAAGAAGACACAGAAAGTAAACTGTCGAAAGTCTTATTGAGAACTGTCATATGACAAAGAAAGCGAGCGCGATAATTTAAAAAAAGACTTAAAGCAATTTTCAAAAATGACGGATTTTAAATAAATCGGTTCTGGCGAGTTAACATTAAATCAGGAAGCCCAGGAGATTTCAGTCATCAGGAACGGTGAATCGCGAGTCTTCCTTGTCCTTGTCGGTAATGCTATTGTACCTATATCATGCGCCACTGTGCGGCTGCTGGTTGGGATCGAGAGAGAGAGAGCCCGTAAGACATAACGGAACGAGTGAGTTTCGTATGAACGGTCGGTGAACACCCCCGACAACTGATCTAAGATTTATTAAAACAACACTCGATAGGAGTGTTGTGTATCCCACCTCTCACTCTGTCTTGCCGATTTTGTCCCCACAATCTCGAACAAGTCCCAGTCTACCTTCAAAAACTAAGCGTGAATATTGCGCAACTGTTTATGTCGGGAACTTTGACTGGTTTATTGATTCGTTAACGGGTTGTGCGCACATGGTTACCGCTATGGACTGTAGCCCATTGAGAATATTTCTGCTGCGGCGTTCTCATTGGCTTCTTACATATCTCGCCACCCAATTTCGTCAACGTTACCGCGCTTAAAGAAGTAGCAGTGCATTTCCGCACGTGTATTCTGACCTGTTTCTGGATTCACATCCCCCAATTACAGCTTTCCCCCGTTACCAATGCTCTATCAGCCGACTGAGGTCTGCTCACTTATATTCATGCTGCTAACCCCATCTCACAAAGGTCGTAAAAACAAGAAAACGCCGCAAGCCTATGAGAACGAGGCGTCAGAATTCGTAGTCCTGCGATCGACTCGCATCTTCAGGGTTATTTGAAGACTGAAGTGTATTCGTGTTTGATGAAACAATCGCGACGTTTTGATGCAACTGAGGCGTCCATGAAAACGCCACGGATGTAGCTTCAAGGGCTCATAGACAGTAGAGGCAACGCGGACTGAAGGTTTGGAGAAAAATTAATCTTGATTTATGCTATGTGCCTCGGATGGATCAGGGATTTGCACTTCTGTCTGCTTTAAAGGATGTGCTGACGCTAAAAGTATAAACTATGTCGCCCATTGAATACCTCAGAAATAAGCAGGACATCAGAGCGGCTGAGTTCATACGGTGGGTGACCGATCACATGAAATGTTGGCTGAAATTCCGAAATGCGTTTTCGATTAGGAAGGATTACTTGATAGCGGTTGTAATACTGAGGCATACTTAAGGCATACTCTTATTACATTTCAGACTTGGAAGGATGTCCGCTTTTAAATGAACTTCTTTTCAATCTCCTGTAGATAGCGTACTATGTAAAAAATGACTACGTAAGTAGCATGCATTTTCGCATTGATTTTCGATGGTCTTGGAAAGTCAAATATATTTTATAGAAACCACAGACAAAAATGTGCTTTCTTCTAGTCAATCGATAGAGAATCCCGTCTTCTTTATACTTTATACTCAAGGAAGAAGTATAATTGGGTTTTAAAAAACTTTTCCAATTGCCGAATAATTTGAAGCCTGATCATTCGTTGCAGTAGCGCTTATTGATTTCACTCTAAAAGGTGCATGCGTTCCGCGTAAAGAAAATAACATATTTTTCTATGCCATTAAAGAGATATCATACAGCGTTCACACAATTTTGCAATGGGCGCGGATGATGTTGTACATTTCATGAGGAGTAGTGGGAAACGGCCAGGTATGTGAATGAACTTTCCGCGGTCTTAAAAAGTCTCATAGTAAAGAACTTTTTTAAAACCTAATTATACTCCTTCCTTAAGTATAAAATATAAATAAGGCGTAATTCTCTATTGATTTATTTTTGTCTATGGTTTCTATAAAATATATTTGAATTTCCAAGACCATCGAAAATTAATGGGAAAATGCATGCTACTTAAGTAGTCATTTTTTACAGAGTACGCTTTCTACAGGGGATTAAAAAGCAATGCATTTAAAAACCGACATCCCGACGAGTCCGAAATGTTATAAGAATATGCCTTACAAAAATCAGTTTTACAACCGCGACCAAGTAATACTTTCTAATTGAAAACGCATTTCAGAATTTCAGCCATCATTTCATGAGATCGGTCACTCACTGTAGGTGTGTCGCCCATACCCGGCTGGGATCCCACACAGTGGGAAAGTCATAAAGGCCTGACTCAGACCACCAATCAACTGTTCCACACAAACACACACAACACTTGACCGAGTCCAAGTTATCCCGCCATCTAAGTCCTCCCACACAGGGATTTGCACTTCTGTCTGCTTTAAAAGATGTGCTGACGCTAAAAGTATACACTACGTCGCCCATTGAATACCTCAGAAATAAGCAAGACATCAGAGAGGTTCAGTACATAGGTGAACTAAATCATAAAATATGTCTAAATTAGTGAAAAATCTGTCGTTAGTCTAAAAAGCAATCCGAACATATCCACTACAACCACGAACCCATAACTAAGGACTTAAAGTAAAATACAAACGCAAAATAAATACTTAAAGTACTCACGAATGGAAGAGAATATACGCATCCCAGGTTCTTGTTTAAAAGAAGGCGAAGGCACGATCACTGGGACAGTGATCGTGCCTTCGCCTTCTTTTAAACTTCAAGTACTATTCTGCCGATTAAAAAAAAACAATTTTCTTAAGAAAATCGCTAATAGCAAAAACGTGAAAATTCGTATCTCATGAGCCAACTCAAAAGTGATAGGCGCATAATGCTTGTCCATGCAAATAACAGACTAAATTGCAGTACGTGGGCTAACTCATGAAACGTCAACCGAAATGCGTTTCAGTTTCGAAAAGATAAATTAAATAGGGTTGTGAAATTAATAATTGTACAGCGTTATTTCAAATATAATTCAGTTATCTCAGGGTGCCCGCTTTCGAAGGAACGTCTTTTCGGATGCGTACAAAAACTACACTCTGGAAAACATGACTACATAAATAGCATGCATTTTTATTACTGATTTTTGATGTCCTTAAATATTCAATTATAGTCATAAAAAGGCATAAAACTATTTGTTATTTTGCTCATTCGGTAGCAAATTACGTCTTTTTTCAACTTTACACTCGAAGGAAGGGTATAATTAGGTTTTAAAAAACTTTCTAATTGTGACACTTTTTAATACTCTGGAATGACTGTTCATAAAACGCCATGTTTCTGCATTTGCCAATCTGACGCTCACCGATCGTTCATACGGAACTCCCTCTTTCCGGACTGCGGACGCACAGTTAGGGTTAGGCGTCGTTTTATTGAATTGGCGTTCGTTTCGCACAGCACCGAGAAATGTGTCGTCCTACGTAACATTCAACCAAAAGCTGGACTGTTGGAAGATTGGTTGTTACCAACTGCGGCGACTGAACGGTTACATTCATATAACATCGACGAATGATCATTTTTGCAAAATACACACATGAAAGGTCTAGCAAAACGGAGCTGACTTGAGTGAATGTTTGGGCTTTTACACAACCAGATGGAAACAACCACTCAACCGCCGAAAATCGCATGCAATAATGTACAAAAATAAATATAAACGTGGTAAAGCTAGCACAAGGTCATGCAGACGCCGTCTTTGGGGTTTTTGAAAGGTGTTTTTTCCTGGTTATCATGACTACTAGCAATTATTTCAATCGATCTGTCCTACAGTTGCTTTTGCGTAGATGCAGTGAGGAGGGAATTAAGGGGTAAAACAATATACCCGCTGACATTGGCTTGATGCTTCATGGAGCTGGTGATCCCAGTTGGTAAGTTGAAATGGAGACCAATCCTATGCATCACCAGACCCAACCAGACATCGTCGATGGGAATGCTCTTGGTGAAGGACATGGCCAACGCCAGATCCGCCACGTGATGGTAACCAAGCATGTAAAAGTAACCGTTGCTATAGGGCGCATGCACTGGCCACGGAACCTCCGGCTTCGACAGTGCCCACTTCCGATATGCAGCAGAATCGCTAGGACGCACTGTGGGGCTATTCCAGCGAGTATTCGAAATGGAAACTCTGCGCCGCCAATCCGCCGGCAGACTGGACAGAACGGCCTGAAGGCGTTTCTCATTGAAACCAAAGTCGTCGTCGAGGAACATGAAAGCAGGGCGTTCGCGACAGAACCTGGCCGCCCACACGAAGCTGTGACGCATCTTCAGGGACAGATTGTAATAGGTGTCCTCGAAGTCGCCCACGATGAGATCATCGTGTTCACGCATCTCCTTCTCCAGTCGAGTTCGAAACTGGGCGCGGCGGTTTCCAATGTTGACAAGCGAGTTGCCGGCGCGACCGGGCAGTGAGATGTTGAAATCATCGCGTTGGAAGAAATTGCTGCTTGCGATTGTGGGCAGGCCCACCATGAACCCTATTCCTATACGGTAAGATCGTTTATCGCTGCTCGCATTTCTCAGATGGGCGTAGAGTCTGTGAAAGATTTGTCTGTCCTCGAAGTTGTACACGGCTGATTTCACAATGACAACGAGATCGTGGTTGTTTTCGCGGTCAGAAGCGTTAATTCTTTCAGGTGGACAAACGGATGTGCTGACTCTGAGTAACCGTATGGTGGGGCTGTCTATTGGAGGCTACAATCGTACAAGAAGGAGGCGTTTAGAGCTCGGAGGCATTATAAAAGCAGAAATAAATATGTGTCCTGTGGATTCTCAATGGGTAGCCGGCAGCTGTACGGCTGCTGGCGGGCTCAAGAGAGATCCCCAAAGAACAACGTGACAAGTGAATTCCATAACGCGATGGGTGCGCACCCCTCTGTCATTGCTAATGTACCCGATCGCAGATGGCAGGACAGCGAGCCGGTGGATCAGTGGTTGTTGGACTTCTAGCCAACAGGTTGCGACATCGAACTCCAGGTGTTCCACACATGGTGTTTGGATATTGTTGGCTGATGCCCGCCAGTTAGCCAGAAATTTCCGTTCTAGCCTCTCTTGTCTTTGTCGGTAATGCTCTTTTGCCTAAAAAAACAATACTTGCTGGAGAAACTGTTGGAATATTGTTACCAAATGAAGTGAATGTACAGTGAGTGACCGATCTCGTGAAATTACGGCATAACCATATAATATATCGGACTCTGCAGGTTGTCAGCCTTTAACTGATCTGCTTTGCAATTTTTTGTAGAAAGCCTAATCGATAAAAAGTGGCTTCTTAAGTAACAGACATTTTTCGCAGTGATTTTCGATGCTCTTGCAAATTTAAATATAATTTATGGAAATCACGAACAAAAATATGACTTCTTTCAATGTTTCGTTGAGAAGCAGTATAGTTAGGTTTTAAGAAGATTTTATAATTGCCGTATAATTTGGAGCCTGATCTGTCGTTGCACTAGCGCTCAGTGAATTCACTCTATGTGTCTAGGTTCCGCGTAAGGAAAATCGTATATTCTTCTATGTCTATAGAAAGATACCATATAGAGTCCACAAAATTTTGCAATGGGTGCTCACCATGTTGTACATTTCATGAGGAGCAGTAATAAACGGACAGGTGCAATGCTGTATAAATGGGCATTGGGCGGCCTTAAAGGCTGACAACCTGCAGCGTCCGATGCATTCTAGGGTTATGCCGCAAGATAATCATTATAACAACCGCGCATAAGTAATCCTTCCCAATCGAAAACGCATTTCAGAATTTCGGCCAACATTTCATGAGATCGGTCACTCACTGTACGTTAGTGCCCACCTGGATGTTTTATAGGTCGTGGATCAGTGATTTGGGGGAGTTGGACTTCTAGTCAACAGGTCGCGGCATCGTACGCCAGGTGTTCCACCCATCGAGCTTGGCTATTGCCGGCTGATGCCTGCTAGAAAGTCAGAAATGTCCGTTCTGGCCTCCCTTGTATTTGTCGGTAATGCTATTCTGCTTACAAAAGCAATGCTTGCTGGAGAAACTGTTGGAATATTGTCACCGATTGGAGTGATGCATGGCCCCGATGCCATTGCGATCACAGGCAGTACTGTTGACATGCACAGCGTTGTCTGTCAGTTAGTGCAAGTTGCGGAGTGATTCCCGTGCACGATTAGCCCCTATTCTCTCGAATCATTCTCGTGGATTGCAGAATTAGCATCTTTTTGAAGATTCCACATTTATCATTCACAGACGCTGAAAGTACTAGGATAGTGTTTTAACTTACTTGTGGTAGAGAAAGTGCGAATGGAATTTTTTTAAAATGCGTTATATTCGAAACGCCAGTGCAGATGTCACATCTGTGCAATAGTAGGAACCCCAGCAAAGGCAATGAACTCCTATCGCCCATAGACACGAAAAGGTGGGCTATGACGATTGAATTGTAATTTTTGGCTAATTTGGCATCATTAGACGGCCGCTTTCTGATAGTTTATTCAATCGTGAGAATTACGTTCATACGGTGCGTGACCGATCTCATGACATGCTAGCCGAAATTCTAAAATGCGTTTTCGATTAGGAAGGATTACACAGGTAGGGTTGTAATATTGTTTATCGTGCGGATTAATCCTATAATAGTTCTGACTTTTCAGGATGTCCGCTTTTGAATGCACTTCCTTCCGACCCTTTGCAGAAACCACACTCGGTAAAAATGACTGCTTAAGTGGAGGTCGAAAAGAAGTGACTTTCAAATGCCGACCTCCTGAGCAGGCCGAAATGCCATAGGAGTATGCTGCATGCTAATCAGTATTACATCACCACCTAAGTATTCTTTCGTAATCAAAAACGCCTTTTCAGAATTTCAGCCAACATTTCACGTGGTCGATCACTCACTGTATTCCTTCTGGAAACCGTCATCCGTTTAGTGTTGTTGACTTGACTGCCGTGCATTATATGTTTTCGGTAATCCTACTGACCCTTACTAATATGTTTGCCCGGTTGGCAGAAAGTAATTTTCAAGCATCTTTCATGTGGTTCAGCACAACGATACTAGTAGTGGGCATTGAAAATAAAGTGCTTGGGATTGAGAAGCTTTACAAATGCGTAACCTGAAAAAATGTCGTGCATAGCATATAGTTAACATTAGATCTACTGCAAAGTGAGAACACGGACGGCGATTCGCGTAGACTTACACGGCAGTTACCGCACTCTCTCCTTCCAATTCGACATCTGGACTCGGTGTTAAGACAGAGTCAAGAAGACCGGAGGTGGGGGAGGGCACAGGTGTATGGCGGGACGAGCCCGCAACTTGGCGTTCCATTCCGCACACCCTGGTGCACACACATTCCCCGTCAATACATTCAGCACGCGTACATTTCTCCAAAATCCCACACATCACCGGCACCCCTCACGTAGGTGAGGATTGTCCCATTTGACTCATTTCTCCAGGTGGCTTCCGCGTTGTGTGTGTGACGTCTGAGCGGTCTGTCCCCCTTGTGTGTGTGCGTATGGGGACCGGGTCTTGCGTGGGGCGCGCGCAGACGGACTGTCTAGCTCTGTCGTCCACTGCACCTAATCCCAGGTCAGACAGCCGACCGGTTCTGACGGTGAACTGGTCTCTGGGAGGGTGAGATCGACCCCCTCAGCGCATAATCCCTCACTACAAACCGTCTGACGCGCTTGAGAATATCAAGGTGGCTTAAAAGCCGAGCCAGCCCCTTTTATTCCTGCGTACGTTGTGGACCAGAGAGTGTAGTGGTGCGCCCAGTTGCGGGTGTTCGGCTGCGTCACGCGCCTACATCCGCTCCCGCCTCCTGTCTCCTTGGCTCTGTCTTGACACCGGGTCGAGGTGGGGAAAGAGGGGGGTGGGGTAGATCCTGCGGAAGTTTACCGTCACTTTAGGCTAGGTCACGCGCAAGTCACCGTCCCTGCTGTGGAACATACGGGGGACATCGTCGGTCACGACGGTCTACTTTTTATATCTGCTAGCACTTTAAGTTCCTGCCATATTAATAGGAAAGAAGGAGGACTGTTCGGACAGTCTGTTTATTGTTCTGGGGTTTTGAATCCCTGCAGAAGTCCATCGTCATAGGTAGTGGTGGCGACAGAACGAGTGACGACTGGGGAGGGAGTGTTAGTCGAACGTCGATCGATGGCGCTTGACAGGAGGTGGCTGCGCAGGACTCTGTACGCTGGCGTCAAAAGCGGGACTATGTGTTGGAATCGCACACCGACTCAATGCCACCATGTACAGCAAGTTTATGGGAGCACATGTCTGGTTAAATCCCGATGAGCAATCTAGGGTTGTCCAAAATATTCCGTGCCAAAACTGCCCTTGTAACTATACATGTCAGACTGAGCGTATGATCGGATCGCGTACACACGAAACGAGCTGGCTAATAAAGATAAACAAATTGTTCTGATGTTCGCCCAGTCTTCTTTTTTACAGAAAATCAGTCTGGTACTGTGTGCTAGCAAGCACAGCGAGACCGAGAGGACTTTGCAACATTCTCCTTCATCTTTTACCTTATTTTCCGAACAGTATCAAAGACTGCATTTGATGCATAAATTTTACCCACCTCAGGAAGAAAGCCTGTCTGTCGGTAGTTTTTGATGAGTTCAGGCCGAAAAAAACCCTGCGGATACAGAAGAAAGACGTCCGGATCAATTGGCCTTTTCCAGTCAGTATCGCCTATTTTCGCCAGCTCTGCATAGCTGATATTGCGATCTGCACCCTTCTTGCTGATGATACCGAGGGAAAATGAGTCGTGTCTGTTTACTGGGAGATGCGGATCTACACAGTAACGAAGACTCAGGTCGTAGGCGCCGTCCCATGTTATTTCACCGACTTCAACTCAGGCGGCCTCGCATAGAGTCGAGGAAACCCCCATTTTCACAGTTTCGACAACGTTTACCAACCGTTCTCTTGTGAAGTAGGCATCGTGGATTATCTTATGGAATCCAAGCAACGCGAGGAGAGAAATCCATGCGCGGTGATTCAGCGTGAAGGGAGATGCCATGATTTAGTCTGTTCTAGTTGTTTCAGCTAAACTCGGAAGTAAAACCCATACTTTCTAGGGCAATAATATATACGGGCCTTCATCACGCACGGAGTGCTGCATAACCTGTCGAAAGATGTTTACCGACAGTAAAAATCGACCAACCAGGGTTTAGAACATTCGGTGTGCCGATGTCGACCGCACGTGCTTGAATTTAGCAGAATATTCCAGGTGAGTTTACTAACTTGTTTTAGGCTGAACTTCGATTTAGCCCTCGGTGTCCTTCTGCGACATAAGATCCATTACCTAACACCACGAAATATTCAAATTAGGCACTAGACCGGAGGCCTCAGTGCGCCTATCACAGCTGTTGAAACCAAAAACACTGTTTTTTTTTCCCGTGTTCTTCTTTCAACATTTGTCTGCTTGCATGGTTTTCAGCGGAAATCTTAGGCACACTAGTCTGACCATTGTGGTCGTCTGAGAAAGATAAGGTGCTCATCAGATCAAGGGAATTGTACGGCTGTCAGGGCGTATGTGGTGACGTAGGACTTCATAGGCTGCAGGAAGGCCTAGATGCCGGCGCACATATTCATGGGCAAGCCAGAAGCTTTCCAGTTTTGTTACCAGGTCAACGGCCTAAGACATTATGGGTGATACGTGGATTGCAGCGGAACAAATTAACGCCTCAGTTTTACAAGATGTTATAAATCAGGCTCCCACACCAATCAAATTCCCGCTGTAAGAAGAACAGCTCGGTTTGTTTCTTTTTCTTAATGTGCTTCTGAGTAAAAGACTTGACGGAAGTACTTGACGTAGTGTCCACCGTAAAAGGACGACCAATTTTGGGAGTTTCCAACCGCTAAATTTGGAACGTAGTTTAGTCTGCTGTTTGACAGAAAGAGCGAGAAGAATCTGCTCGGCTTAAGGATGAAGAAAGTCCCATTTGCCAGAGCGGCAACCCTGATCGATACAGCACTATGATCATGGCCGGAAGAACACTAAAGCCCCCCAGTGCTGACCTCAGGAAAGATGCTGCTTTCCGCCAGGTTCTGTTTTTAAGGGACGCGCAAATGAACTTTTAAGAAGTCAATTTGACAGTGAAACTGTACTTACCTCAGGAACCATGCCGCTCTCCCTGTATTTCTGAATGACTCCGCGTAATGCATGAGCTTACGGATACAGAAAGAAGACGCCCGGATTAACTGGCCTTTTCCAGTCAGCATCGTTTATTTGGGCCATTTCTGTAAAGTTGATTTCGCGAAATCCGCCCTTCTTGCTGATGAGATAGAGTGGAAGTGAATCGTATCTGTTTACTGGGAGGTGCGGATATACACAGTAACGAAGACTCAGGTCGTAGGTGTCGTCCCCTGTCATTTCGTCGGAAATGCTCCACCGAAGTTTGCATATTGTGGATGGAACCCGAATTCCCATTATTTCAATAACATACTTTGTCCATCCTCTCATGAAGTAGACATCGTAAAGTATCAACGTTATCCCCAGCAGTGTTAAAATGAGGATCCATTTACGCTGAGGCCGTACGCACTGGGTCATCATGGCGCAGCCTCTTCTTAGTTATATCCCCAGCTTTGCTCAGAATGATTTGTAGAGGGGCGTTATTGCGTCCTAAGTGTTGCACAACACGTTGAAGGATGTTTACCGGCGCTTAAAACCTAGCCAATCAGAGTTGGAACAGGTTCTGTTTATGCTGTCGACAATCGAACGCGTCTAAGTGTAAAACGGAGTACACAGCAAGCACCCTCACTGGCTGCCGACTTTTGACGATCTGTCATTGAGTCCTAATTTAGCGGCTGATATGCACATGAGGCCTCAAGCCAGCTCGCTAGACCCACTTTACTTCCGAAATGTACATCAGACTGAGGGTTGAATTCAATACTCCAAATCGGGAGCAGGGCATGGGGTGTTTCTGAATCCACGACATTTTCTGATGCCTAGCGTCGCCGCAGTTTAAAAGGGGATGTGCAACCTTGTCTGTTCGCATGACTGAAAATGCTACTTTTAGGCTAATTAACCGACCACACTCTTAAGGCCTCGCGGGGTTTTCTCCACTCAAGGGAATTGCGTGATAAAGTAATCAAGTAGTATGAAGAAATCGCCGATGACCGTAAGATGGCCTGCAGGTGTAACGAACTGCAGCGCTGAATATGCCCTCACCAAGTTTGTAACAAAATACTTGGTGAAGTTGATGAGGAAGGATGGATTACCAGGAGAAAAAAATATGATAGTCAAGTTGAGGTGCACTGATCGAAAATTGAGAATCTACAAATCCAGTTGTCGGAAAGTTCAACAACATTTTCTAAGACTGCGTAGCGTACGAGCGGCTGAGCAGGCAGTGATCGAAAGAGTTCTCACCGACAGTGTGCCAGCCCTTTTAGCTTTTTAGGCCCGGCGCGAAGTGTGTGTGTCCCCTCCTACTCCTCCTCCCCCTTCCCGTCCTCCTCCGCCACTGCCCCAGCGACGCTCTCTCTGGCGGCTGTCACGCACATCAACACTACACGCAAACCTGAACAGGAAACGACACCAACCCTACAACCTCCGACTCCAGAGGTGGGGTCCAGGACTACACCTGCCCTCACTGCGACCGCACCTTCACCTCACACATTGGCCTGGTCGGTCACTTGCGAATCCATCGCACAGAGACTGGCGAACCAGTGCCTGGAGCACCAACCTACACCCATCGCATTCGCCTTTACTGCCCACACTGCCCTCGAATCTGCACGCATCGCATGGGCCTATTCGGCCACCTGCGCATCCACTAGCACCTGCGGTGGACAACCGCCGGCTGCACTACGCCACCAGTCCCTCCTTCCCCGAACTACCACCTCACCACACATCAACACTCTCCCACCGCAGGCATACAACTGCCACCTCGCATGCGAGTGGGAAGTGTGCATCTCGACTCGCCCCCGTGCGGCCTCTGCATCACAGGCGGCTTGAGTCCGAGACTATTTCGACATGTCAAGCGTCGTGGATAGGAAGGCTGCTGATTGACGCTCCACTCGGTCCACTCAGTCCGTCTAGTTGTGTGTGTGTGTGTGTGTGTTTGTGTGGAGTGGCGGACTGTTGGGCTGGAAGACGGGCTAAAACAGCACCTTCCACGGTCCTCTCACGCAAGTGAGAAATCCGCCGTTCAACCCCTATTGAGCGAAATCCTGCTGTTTGTTTTTGGGGTATCAGGTCGTGCATGTGGCGCACGCAGACATGGTCAGTCGACCATGCTAGCCACCGCGCCCATTCCCCGCTCCAGTCTGCTGACCGGCTCGGACAGCGGCTGTGGTGTGGGAATGGGAAGGGAGAGTGAGGTCGACGACTCAGCGCACTTTCCTCTCTATAAACAATCTGACGCGCTCGAAGCTATCGCAGCGAGCTAAAAGCCGTGACGTGGAAGGTTGGCAACTGACGGGGTAACTTGGACCTCCTCCGCGACTGGTGGTGGTCTGAGAGTCAGGCTGCAATGGCTCCTTTTTAATGTGGCCGTATGGCACTCTCACCACAGTGTAGGATCTGAATCAGGCGTTGCCGGCACGCCTAGGTGCGGCTTCGGCCGTGCTAGCCTCCAAACTCTGTTGTGTGGATCAACATCCTGGTTATTTGTTGTGTGGATCAGGGGATGTGGTGGAACGCCAAGGTGAAGATTCGTCCGAGCCATCCACCTGCGGCCTCCCCCGTCTCCGGTCTTCTTAACTCTGTCTTGACACCGGGCTCAGGCAGGGGAGGAGGAGGGAGTGTAGGTAGATGCTACGCAAGTCTACTGGTACTATAAACCCCTTCGCAAGTCACCGTCCCTGCTCCCACCGCTGCTGCAGCTGTGGGTCACACGAAGGCCATCGTCGAAATCGACGGTCGAACTGTCGTGTGTGTTCGTACCTGAGCCTTGTGCGGCTGCGGCCAATCAGGGAAGGTATAAATATCGATCGGCGTCGGTGTCGGGCAACCGAATTTCGAGTCATACGGCGCGCAAGCGCTAATTGACAAGCCTGACAGGCGGACGGAAGACGGTTTGAGTAAAAGGGGACAGTCGCTGTCCAAGCTTTCAGATGCATCGTCAGGTGAACGTGATGGACTGCAGCCTAATGCTTCGGGCAGTGATCGCATTGATTTTGGAGAAAGGACCCAATAGCGATGCCGGTATTAGTCCGTCAGTCTAGATGTGCACCTATTGGTTGGTGGAACGGAAGCGAGAGAAGCTGGCACGGCGAACACCCGCACCTAGGTGTATTACCACATCACCTGATTCAGAACGTAAAGACACCAGGATTACATGCAGCAAGAAAAAGGGGAGGGCAGGTTGGATCGTGAATAGCTAGGCGTGATCCCACAGCTGGGCATGCCAGCACTCCCCAATTCGTGATATTTGTTATGATTGTTTATTTCCACTATCATCTGACAGACATTGATTAGGCCCCTGTGCCGGTTAAGCACATCTACCTGTTAGCCAGGATGCTAGTTCGGCCGTCATCTTACTACAGGCAAACTTAGACCGACTCGAAAAATGGTCAGGCCACTGGCTCCTCCAATTTAACGTTGCCAAATGCAACATTCTGAGGATTGGCAGACCAAGCTCTGTGCAACGGAGGACGCACTATCTAAATCACACACCGCTGCTGGTGGTTGAGGTTCAGAAGGATTGAGGTGTTTGGATAACATCTTCACTAAAGCCATCATTTCACTGTTTGAAATCAGCGAAATCCGCAATGTCCAGCTCATATCTCATCAAGCGGGCATTTGCGAAGATCGAAGTTAAATGCTCTCGCAAGGTCTTTGGGATGTTTGTGCGTCCACAGTTAATATTTGCCATTCAGGCCTGGAGAATCTGGACTGTCAAGGATCGTACCACCCTCGAAAAAGTCTAACGACGGACGACCAAGCTTGTCAGAGGTCATAAAAACCCACCTTACGAAACTAGACTGTCAAATCTTAACCTCTTTCCACTGGACTACAGACAACCACGTGGCGACTTACTTCAAACCTTTCGAATGCTTCGGGGTCAGGATTGCTGCCTCGCATCCGACGACTTCTTTAATCTGGCCACCACTACTAGCTTGAGAGGACATCCTCTAAAACTACGTGTGACATGGGCCAGACTGGACGCAAGGACGTCCTTCTTCAGCCACAGAGTGGTAAAGGCATGGAATTCCCTGCCTGTAGACGTCGTCATGTCTTCATCCGTGGAACCATTTAAGAGGAAGCCTGACCAGTACAGTGATATGTACCTCCACAGCATCAGAAACTAACAAATTTCCCCCCTGTACCACCCGCCACGCCCAACGGTTTACGTTACAAAACATGCTACTGCCCATATTTAAATAACATTACGTTTTACAATTTTCGCTATCTCCTGACCGCAGCATATGCGCTTGCTTCAATATTACTTGGTCAATTCAGCACCGCGTACTGGTCATTGTACAATTTTGACATAGAAGGCATTCGCAGAGAAATTTATACCAGTAACCAATGCATGCTATATGTAATTACTTACCTACTTTTCTTTGACACTTGTTATTTATGACGTTATTGTAACCAAAAGGAGTTCAAAGGCCTACATTCCCTTAATAAATCTGATCTGAGCTGATGCTCTGAAGTGAAAGCCCCATTTTCTGCAAATGATTTGTCGCCGGAGGATGTCCGAGTTGAGATGACTAACCCGAGCATCAGTCGACTGCAACCGAATAGCGTGCGGTGTTTAAATAGACCTGTCAGTTTGGCGATTGTCAACGGCGATGCCCACCGTGTGTCCCACGGCGTGGAGGCCTCAGAACAGCGACTTGTGCAGCACCCGTCACGCTAACTCCTCCTTCGCCCACCCCATGGAGATGCACGATCAGGACTACCCGAGGTTGATTCGGACGCAATGATCGCAAATCGGTGGGCTTTTGAATTTAAGCCGCACTTAATTATGCTCCCCATTCAGGTGGGAGGTTTCCTATGTGCACGTCTAACTCGAAATATACTGATCTTTTCCGTAGGTTTATTTACCTGAATTACAATCAGGAAGTCATCTGTGCAGGGGGTTGGCAACATTTTGAAAGGACTAAAAGCTTGCGCGAATTCCGTACCGATTCACAGACGACTGTCCGCGATGTTAACGGTTGCACTTTGTGGCTAATAGGCCGTATTTGCCATCCTTCCCTGCTATCACTTTCACGTTTCCATCAAAAAATGTTAAAACGTTAAAGAAAAACGCTGGATATTTTCACCAAACAACACTGGTGCGAAGCTACAAGCTCCTGTTTTCATACTTTGATGAGTCGATAAATTTTATTGCAGTTACATGCCAGGTCTGTTTGTTCAATAGTCTTTAAATACAGCATATTTGTTAACACCTATACTCGCTCTCTACCCGTGAAGGTGACGCAACTAGGCTACATGACTTTCTTTCGAAAAAAACTGTTTTATTGTCTTGAGAGCAACTTCTACGCTTATTCGGCGATTTTGACTGTGTTACCTTTCGCCCCCCTTACACTTTTGGGCTTTGCCGACCTTGTTCCCTCAATAACCCGACAAGCGTTCCTCTCAGTCACATTTTAATTACCCGCTTCATCATTTTTCATGTTCAAAATGGACGTCTGCTGTCTTGATCAGGTCAGTCTCTCCTAGTAGGCCTTCCAAAAATTTACTCTCCTTCTAAGTGCCCGTTGACAATCAGATCCGACAGGGAAAAATGGTTCACCACACTTTCCCAAAAATACTTGTCTGCTTCGGATTCCTGCAAATAATACTACCATCGTTCTTCCTAAAATATCGAATGTCGAATTGTGTTCAAGCTTCCTTGGAAGGCAATTAAATGAATTTTTTGATATGTGTTGTCTTTTTGGAGCTGGGAGAAGTTCTTCCTCATACCTCAGGTTTTAAAGGCGTCGAAATGAACTCCTCCACAAACGTAGCCTATGTGACAGTTTAAAGTATGCCAATGACTTGTTTGTTAGTCAGACTTTTATTACTTATTCAATAGAAAATGATGTCTGCTTCGAATTTTATACTCGAAGTAATGATATAATTCGGTTTTAAAAAGTTTCTAATTGGGGAACTTCTAAATACCGTAAAATGGCCCTTCAGAAATCGTCATATCTGTGCATTTAACAATGTGGCTTGTAAAGTTAACAATGTGACTCAAATCCACTGCTAACTTTTATGAACCCCATGAGGTCTCTCCTAAATACGTAGAGAAATGAATGGTTATCCGTACAGGGGAAATATAGGCTTGTAGTTTTGAAACCCTGAATGCAAGCGCAACGGCAGGTCAAGTTCAAAATTATACGGAAATTGGAAAAGTTTTTTAAAAACCGAATTATACCCTTTCTTAAAGCATAATATTTAATGAAGACGTCGTTTTCTACCGAATGTGTAAGGAAATGGATATCTTATGCATGCTTTTAATGAAATATAATTTAATTTTCAAGGACATCGAAAATCAATGAGAAAAATACATGCTACATAAACAGTCATTTTTACAGTGTATAGTTTTCTATGCGGCTGGAAAGAAGTTCGTTTAAAAGCCGGCATCCTGAATTATTAAAGAAGTATGCTGCATGATGATTAGTGTTACAACCCTACTTGATTAATCTTTTCGAAACGAAAATGCATTGCGAAATTTCGGTTGACATTTCATGCGTTAGCCCACCTATCGTATATAGCTGTTCGGAAGTCATGCCTCTTAACATTGCCAGATTTTCCATTTCTTTATATTCCTTCCGACTGCCATCTAGCTCACCTTGTTATACTTCCTTCTTTTTATTCGTTTTGCATTTTTCGTCAAGTTCTGACACTTATCGCGCTTTCCGACTTAGCTCACAATCTGCGTTGTTTGCACTTTCGAATTAACGCCTGCGACCAATTACCATTGGTTGTTATTTCCCTTGGAACCTGAGCTTCCATTAGTCAATTGGCGGCGGTTTATTCAGTTACCCGAATTTCCTTGACTACCACTTGGGTAGTTTTTCGAATGTTTGCACCTACTTACTGTCGACATGCCTAGCGCATTAGTAGGTTTTAGATGTAGTTCTACTTTTCTTCGCCTTTTATTTTTTCGAATTGCTCCTGCGTGCGCCTGAAGAGCCCACCGTGTAAAACTAGTACCATCATTCCTGTTAGGCAGGCTCCTCAGATTAAACTGTCGCTGACCCCGGGCAGAAACCTTACCCTTCTCTCAAAAAGCCCTGCGGAGAGGGCGATATATAATCCCATAGACCGTCCAGGGTATCTTAGGCCGCTCTCCCATTGTGCCAAGGCGTGACCCACAGTACAGTACGGCACCCGTCTGAGACGTCTCAGTAATTCTACTCAGAGACGGCACTGCATTGACAGTAGAGGCGAAGAGACGAGTCCTAAGAAGCAGTCGTGAAGAAGGAGACACTATCGCTGGGGCAAGAGGTCTATTCGCCTGACGTTTCGAATTCCTGCTCGAACCCATCATCAGAGGCAATAGCAGATACGGGTAGTTCATGCACAAGGGCCAGCTGTATTTATAGGATGCAGTCGCCATGCTACCGCATACCTATGTAAATTCACGTCCCCCCCCTTCATCATGGATCGTTGCACTTGGTGTGATGACTGTTCAATGGCCGATATTCACGTAGTTGTTTGCTGCCATTTCATCAGGGGTGTTGGATATTGGTGTGAGGACAGCTGAACCATCTGAACCACCGACCCTGGCGTTGAGAGAAGTGTTTACCTATGCATTCTCCAGATGGTTCATCACTCCGCTTAGGCTAGGTATCAGGATCGAATATGGATGAGGAAGTTTGTTGCGCTTGTTAATAGACTGGAGGCCAGTGAACCAGGACTCAAGCCAAGACTCATGTAAGTTCAAACCGCACGGACCCCACATTTTGGCGAGCCCTTCTGTATGTCCAATAACTTTTCGAAAGCTGTCGGCCGCAGTTTCTCGCTACTTGGGATTGAAGTTGCACACAGACCGGAGGCAACCATCAGTCGTCAGATAATGAAATCGAAGGGCCCACTGCCACGGGAAGAAACATTTGGAGTCGTTTATCGGATCTGGTGTAATTGCCGACAAAACAAATTCGTCGGAGAAACCGAAGGAATGTTCCTAACAAGAATGGCCGTAGACACGGAAAGTGCTGAGAAATGACGCCAGCTCTCAAGATCGAGACAATCTAGCTGCATTTACAAAGCAAATACGACGAAACGGAGACTCGCCTTGGACGCGCCCAAGTCCTTCAGTTCCTGAAGTTCTGTCTCAGGACGTACTTCACGTTCGACGGGACAATCTACGAACAGGTGAAGGGCACACCAATGGGTTCGCCGATTTCGGGAATCATCGCCGAGGCGGTCCTGCAACGGTTAGAGTCGCTGGTCTTCAAACACCACAGACCGAAGTTCTGGACCCCGTATGTGGATGATACCTTCGTCGTTATCGACCGGGATCAACTGCTGACATTCAAGGAACATCTGAATGCGGTCTTCCCGGACATACAATTTACGGTGGAGGAGGAAGAGAACAACCAGCTGGCCTTCCTTGATTTCCTCCTATGCCGCAAAGATTGTGGTGAACTAAAAACCAAATTGGTCAGGAAAGCGACAAATACGATGCAAGTACTGAACTTCAACAGGAACCACCCAATCAGCCACAAACGCAGTTGTGTAAGAACGACCTATCGGCGTGTCAAAACGCACTGCACTGAGCCGGAGGACAAAATTACCGAACTACACTAATTCTGACGGGTATTCAGAGCCGATGGCTACCTGCGCAACTTCATCGACCGGTGCATACGTAGAAGGGACAAATGGCCTAACGGCACGGACACCAAAGTTTGGCGAGCACTTCTATATGTCAAGAATATTTCCGAAGCTGTTGGCCGCCTTCTCGCACCACTTGGGGTTGCAGTTGCACGCAGATCGGAGGCAACCATCAGGCGTCAGATAATGAAATCGAAGTGCCCGCTGCCACGGCAAGAAACGTCTGGAGTCGTTTATCGGATCTGGTGCCGTTGCGGACAGAGCAACTACGTCGGAGAAACCGGAAGACAACTCCAATCGCGAATGTCCGAACATGCTGCAGCGGTGCGGAGAAATGACGCTACATCTCAAGGTGCGGTCCCTTCGACGAGATCCGGCCACACATGCAAATTCGACGAGGCCGGAATTCTCGCAAGAGGTGACAACCGCGTGAGCCGCGAGCTGCTTGAGTCATGGTCGACAGACCACCAGAGTAATAGCAAGGCTAACAAGTGCTGGGAAGACGTTATCTGCACGCGGACGGCGGTTCACAAATATCTACTACTCATGGTCGGAACAACCAAACAAACAACAGTCCTCGGCTCCCATCCTCTCCATTCTACCTCGCAGGTTGCTAGAATGACTCCGCTCATGCGGGCAGCCCGCGATATGGATTACCTTTTGTGAAATCCGCGGAACAACCGACCCGAATAAAGGGGGGGGGGGTATAAGTCGCACGAGAATTGACGCGCAACAAATTGGATATCGCTGCACTCAGCGAGGCCTGTTTATCCGAACAAGACTGACAGGAGTACGTGAATGACGGCTACACCTTCCTCTGGAGTGGTCTCCCAAAGCGACGTAAGGATGGCGTCGCCTTTTTCGTCTGTATCGAAATCGTGGGATGGCTCCCTTCTCCTCCGCAGGACATCAGCTAACATATCATGAGTCCTCATGCACTCGACCACTCCAACGATAACGGCCTCCTCCTCCTCCTCATCCTCCTCCTCCTCCTCCTCCTCCTCCTCCTCCTGTGTCTTTGCTGACTTCAGTGACCCCGTCGAGACAGACCACGCTGTCTGAGGGGAAGGGGGTGGAGCACCAACGACAACGACCTCCTCCTTCTGCAGACCTACGCGAAACACTGTCTCCTCCAACCCAGCACATTCTTCTTTTATTCAACGACGGAGAGTGTAACCTGGATGCAAACCCAACATCCCGACGCTAGCAGCTGCTGGACTACGTTCTCTTCCAGGAAGTGCTGATGACCAAAACTATCTGCGACGCCGACGGTTGCAGTTATCAATGACTCACCATCTCAAAAATAAGGCTCCAACATGGTAGACACAGACCACCGTGTAGACGCCAGAGGGGCCTTCAGAGTGATATACAAGGTCCCATCAGGATATTCAAAACTGCTTGCGCAGCGCTTGTTGGCTACTGGAGAGGCGGCTGCAATCAGGCTACGCCGACCGGTCCTATGCGCACACAAGAACTTCGTACAGGTCCCACAGTAACCATGGGTCAAAGCCGCCAAGCCAACTACCCGCATGTAATTCCCTTCGCCGGGCCCCACCTTCTCCCGGGCGCTGACTGGGATTTTGGTGTTTCACTCTCGCCTCCCCTCCCCTCCCCTAGCCAAACCCGAGCTACAGTTTAATTATCTATTTGTCCGTATCTTTTAATTCATTACTTCAATGGCCATATAAATGTACAGGCCTGAAGATAATATATCGAAAGCAGACGTATTCTCGCCAAATTGCCTTTTGAGTTTTACAATGGGAATTTTCGCAACTCCAACAGTAACCTCGCAAAAAGCTACTGCATAGACAGGGTGGTATCAACTGCGGAACGTTGTCCACTTCACCGTCTTGGTTGTTGTCGGTCGCGCACGTCGTAAATATTAGGAATGTTTTGACAAAAACGACATAGACGTCAACAAATTACTCGTCCAGAAGAACAGACTGCCATACCGACGCAAGAGGTGGCCTTATTCGGATGTCACCGCCCTGTGCAGTGCGAGAAGCCTGATGCCCAATGGATTGCAAAGTCAAGGAAATCCAAGAGTACGCTGACGGCAATAAAACAGAGATCGTCTTCGCATCAATCAGGGAGGTCTGCGGTCAACAAGAACGGCGCCGCTTCTCAACTCCGACGGAAAGACACTCCCGACGGGGAAGTTGCAAGCTCTGAGTTGTTAGACCAAGCACTTCAGCAGTGTCCTCAACCGCCCATCCAGGATCTCCGTGGCCGTCATCGACCGACACCCCCATGGGAAACAGTCGACACCCTAGACACCGCCAGAAACAATCTTAATTGGGAAAGCACCGCAATCCTACACGATCTCGGCTGCAGTTTATAAGACTGGCTGCCCCGCACGATAAGTAAACTTATAACGCTTTTCCGAAAGATGTGGCGTCAAGAACAAGTTAGCAAGGAGTTCAGTGACGCGAACGTCGTTTATCTATATAAAGGAAAATGGAACGGGCAGCTCTATGATTACCGCAAAGGCATCCTGTTGCTCAACATCGTGGAGAAAATCTTCGCCCACACCATTGCCAGTGGTCTCAGCGGCTAGTTGGGACACCGACATCTACCCGAAAACCAGTGTGTCTTCAGACGATATCGCGAAACAATCGGTATGAACTTCCCCGCCCGGTAATCATAGGTGGATTGTTAGGAAATGCGGAACCAAATCGGCATCACCTTGAGGGCTTTGACGAAAGAATCAGACACAGCGAATCGCGATGGTCTCCGGAAAATCATGCAGAAATTTGACCGTCCGGAGCGATTCCCGTACATGATGGCTCGGACCGTTGAGAGGTTGATGGCGCGCGTCACGTGCAATGGAGCCGTTTCAGAAGCATCCGCAATGACCAATGAAATGAAGCAGGACTGAGTCCTTCTGCCCATCAACTTAAGTCTCATCTGATCTGTCATGACTATAGACGCCTATTATGATGGGCGCCCTGAAGTCCGGATCGTTCACAGGACCGGCGACCAGCCTCTCACTCTCTCCACGACTACTGCCCACCATCTGCTCTTCACAGACGACTTCACGTTCAACACCGCGACAGAGACGGATATGCAATAGTCCACGAGTGCCTTCGAATCAGGCTGCTCAAAATTCGGGATGAACAGTTGCCATGCACCAGCGGCTTTCTCATCAGTATCGCGCAACACCAAAATCGACCACGAAGTGGCTTATAAGGGAAGAACAGAGAAGCCTGAAGGAGCAGTCTACGAAGCCAACCGAATCAGCGCTGCCAAGGACATAAGAACTAACAACAAGTCTCAAGCGCACCCAAAATAACCCCCCCCCCACCAGCCTGCCCACGATGTGGACGAACATACGGACGTACGGATCCGCCTCCTCGGATATCTTCGGACCCAATGGAACAAGAAAACGACAACTCCATTTCCTGCCTTAAAAATCGCTTCCATCGTCATTCCTGCACGAATCCTCACTGCACTGGCCATCACGGACACCACCACAGGCACCACCACCACCACCACCACCACTACAGGCCCCACCACCACCACCACCAACACCACCACAGGCACTACCAACACCACGACCACCACCAACACGGTCGCCGCAGGTGATCACACCCCTGATGCCACGACCGTCTCAGCCGATTTCGTTCATGTAATGAAGCATATGCAAGTCCGAAAGAAGCGGAATTAACTCGGACGACGGCCAAGATAACATACGAATGTTCAGACAAGTCGCAATAAATTATCATGCGATAGGGCAAATTACCAGTAAAATCCCTGGCATGCATGTGACAGATGAATGACAAATGAAGAAAATACAGTGGCTGTCGTGAATACTAATTTTCCTCTCACCATACAGATGTGCGGCGGAGAGATTGGAGGGGCAAGGCGATATAGCCGGTGACATTTTCCTGATGTCTCAAGGAGTACACGATCCCAGCTGGCAACTCGAACTGAAGACCAATCCTATGCATCACCAGACCCAACCAGACATCATCAATGGGAATGCGTTTGGTGTAGAACATGGCCAAAGCCAGATCCGCCACGTGATCGTAACCAAGCATGTAGAAGAAACCGTTGCTGTAGGGTGCATGCACTGGCCACGGAACCTCCCGTTTCGACAGTGCCCATTTTCGGACGGCCGGAGTGTCCGTGGGACGCACTGTGGGACTATTCCAGCGAGTACTCGAAATGGAAACTCTGCGCCGCCAATCCACTGGCAGAGTGGCCAGTACAGCCTGCAGGTGCTTCTCATTAAAACCAAAGTCATCGTCGAGGAACATGAAGGCAGGACGTTCGCGACAGAACCTGGCCGCCCACACGAATGTGTGATGCATCTTCAGAGACAGATTGTTGTAGGTGTCCTCGAAGTCGCCCACGATGAGATCATCATGTTCACGCATCTCCTTCTCCAGACGAGTTCGAATCTGGGCGCGGCGGTTTGCAATGTTGACGAGCGAGTTGCCGGCGCGACCGGTCAGTGAGATGTTGAAACCATCGCGTTGGAATGAATTGCTGTTTGTGCTTGTGGGCAGGCCCACCACGAACACTACTCCTATGCGACAGGGTAGTTTGTAGCTGCTGTCGTATCTCAGATGGGCGTAGTATCTGCGAAAGTTTTGTCTGTCCTCGAAGTTGTAGACGGCTGATTTCACAATGACGACGAGGTCGTAGTTGTGTTTGGGGTCAGCACCGTCAATTCCATCTGGTGGACAAACTGAAGTGCTCACTTTGAGAAATCGCATGCTGGGGCCGTTGACTGGGGCTGCAAACGTTCACGAAGGTTTTGGATGCTTTAAGAAAAATTTGGTCTTGGAGAATCGACTAAGTTTGCTTCTGTAGTTTTACGCAAATTTAAACAAAAATGAGACGTACTGAAAAAGCTGAAAATGCTTTTTGTAAGATATCTACCCCGGTGTCGTTACAATCACAAGAAAAATCCTTAAGTGCTCAGAATTATATCAGTTATCAAAGGGTTTCGTCATGTTAATTGCATTTCCAAATTTCTGAGTCTCAATCAATCAACTTTCCTGAAACGTATGCATATCTTTTGCATGGATCCTAATCCTTAAGTATTTACCTGAATTCTGAATTGAGTAATTAGCGGCTGACCATCTTATGACCTAGCATTTGCCATAAGATTTTCTCTAGGCGCTTGTCAGCTGCTGACTATGGTATGCGCACTGAATTTGGGGAAGTGAATACTTCCACTGTCCTGAGCTGTCAACCGCAAAGGAGATTTGCTCCGGCATACAAAACAACGAAATTCATCAATACCGGTCTGCACGGTAATAACGCATAAGATGGGAGGAGTTAGACCTTGACAAGCAAAACAGAATCTTCTCCGACTGGCTGTGAAGTCAGGGTTATTTTTGCGACAGAGTGCTGTGCATAGCGCATCTCGCTGATTGGACCAAAGTGGAAGGAATCGTGAGAAGTGCTCACGTGCAGACGATCGATATGCGCTCTGCATCGAAGACTAAGCGAGAGAAAGAGGCGATCCCTACCAGACGAATGCGATGAAGGCTGGTGTCTAGAGAGAAGTTGGGGGATCAATACGAGGGCAGAGCATCTGATGGTGCTAGAGATCAAACAAGGTCACAGACCAAAACCGAAGAATGAAGGGCATCAATGTTGACTACTCTGCGTGTCAGGGGACAGGCAATGATCGGTTACGCTGTTCTGGTTCCAAGTGTGAGCACAATGTGTTCATTGAAAGTAAAGTAAGACGAAGAGGAATGCTGAAATCGTGGGTGGAAAAGTAGCCAACGCTAAAACGGAAAAAAACAATCTGATGTTTCGGTTTAAAGTTATGGTTAATTTTAGGGTTTGGGTTTGTGTCAGACTGAGAATTGAATTTAAGGTTAAGTTTTGTGCTGCGTTTAAGGGTTTCAGTTAGAGTTGGGGTTTGGATTGTCGTGTAGGTTGGCGCTAAGGTTGGTGTTAGGGTTAGTTTAAGTCTAAGGTTATGTTAAATTTTAGGGGAAAGGTAAAGTTTAGGATTTGGTCCAGGGTTAAGGTTAGGCATAGGATTCGGTCTAGGGTTTGTGGTAGGTTTAGGATTAGGCTTAGCGTTAGGTTTATAATTAAATTGAGGATTAGGTTTGCTTTTGAGGCCATGGGTATTGTTGCCCCATGTTTCCTGCCTTCTGCGGAAATTCTGGGTTTACTTCAATCTCGCGACAAATTTATCATGCATCAGGTTGCCTACTCAGTTTCAGCCTCGGCTACTTTCCCCTCTAAAGGTTTCAGTATCCCTCTTCGGCTCATCTTACTTTCAATGCCCACATTGCGCTTGCACTTAAGACCAAAATAGCGTGCCAGGTAACGAAATGTGATGCAGACCCAATTAGCACAAGGTACTCAAGAGGCAATAAAACAGACATTAAGTTGGCAGTGAACCTGCACTTACCTCTGGAACCAAGCCAGTCTCCCGGTAATTCCGAATGATCTCACGCAGAGCAAAACCCTGCGGATATAACAGGAAAACGTCCGGATTAATTGGCCTTTTCCAGTCAGTATCGTTTACTTGGGCCATCTCTGCAAAGGTAATATTCCGACCTCCACCAGTCTTGCTGATCAGATCTAGGGGAAATGTGTCGTATCTGGTTACTGGGAGGTGCGAATCTACACAATAACGGAGACTCAGGTCGAAGGGGCCGTCCTGTGTCATTTCACTGATACTAATCCAGCGAAGATTGCATATTACTAATGAAACTCGAATTTTCACGGTTTCAACAGCGTTTGCTACACATTCGCTTGTGAAGAAAACATCACAGAGTATCTTCGTTATTCCTAATAATGCTAAAATGAGGATCCACGTGCGATGAGACCGCAGGCATCCAGTCATCACGGTATAGCCTCTTCTTAGTTCAAAAAATGGAACGCACGTGATTTATACAGGGGTTTTATTGGATTCTGAGTGGTACAAAACATGCTGAAGGATGCCTACCGGCGGTAAAAACCTAGCCAATCAGAATTGGAACAAGTTCTATTTATGTTACGAGTCGAAGTGCAAACAGAAGTTCCCGGGCAAGCATTCCCACTGGCTGCCGACTCAAGTTGCCTTTGATGATCTGTCGTTAAGTCCTAATGTAGCTGCTAAGATGTACATGAGAAATCAAGCCAGCTCGCTAGCTCCCCCAAACGTCCGAAATGGGCATCAGGATGAGGTCTGCATTCAATACTCCTCAGGGGGTTTTCTCCATTAAAAGTAAAATTCGTTTTCAAGTGCGCAAGTAATATAAAGGAATCCACAATGACCGTCGGATTGGCTGCTTGTGTAACGAAATTCAGCACTCAATATGCTCCCACCAGGTTTATGACAGCATACTTAGGGAAGTCGATAAGAAAGGATGGATCACCGAGAGGAGTTGTCTCATAGTAAAGTCGAGAATCTTTTGACATTTAAGAATTTTCCGGAGAGGAGTAGCGTGTGAGATAGATGTTATGCAAGTCCGCTATCACCACAGGCTAAATCATGCACAAGCCGTCTTCCTTCAAAATCGGTGTTATTGGAATGTCCATGTCTATTTTCAGTGGCCGCATTACGTGATTTGTACCATTGCGCTTATCGTGTATACTCTCCAACTCCCCCCCCTCCCCGCGTTTTCGCTTCTGGTGGAGAGCCATCTTCCACCGATTGCGAGGAGGTGAGGAAGGAGGCAGGCAGTTGCCGCGGCCGAACATGCACCTGGGTGTGCCACTCCTTACTCGTATAGACAACACAGAGAATCTGTCGCATCACAGAAACACACGCCCTTGACCTGGCTGGTGGGGAGGTAGAATTACTGTGTGTGGAGATAAACACACGGATAACTTCACCTGGTTTAGCCCAACGGCTAAGGCGGGTCAAGGATGTGGCTGCTAGCTTTGGGGAGCCACACGTGAGAGTTGGATGCCTGTCAATGGACACTAAGCGTAGTCAGCACCTGCGAGAAAGTGAGTGACCTACTGCGACCATCACATGACCCCACAGCTGGACACACCTGCACCCCGACCGACGATGTCCATCATGTGCTCAAGGGTTACCCGTGCCTGATTTCCTTTACAGTGACAGTAGACTTGCACTGCATCCATCGCACTCTCTCCTCCTGCTCCGACTGGACCCAGTGCCAAGACATAGTCAAGAAAACCGACGGTGAGGGAGGGAGCAGGTGGCTGACACGGCCGCGCTCGCACCTAGGTGTACCAGCATACCCCCTGGCTCGCAACGAATATATGACCAGGGTTTTGAGCAACAACAACAACAGCAACAACAGCACCGCATCTGGCCGGCCATGCTCACGACTTGTATACCCAGCTGCGGCGCGAGTGCATCTACCGCCAGGGAAACACGTGCCGCAGAACCGCCATCGCACATCAGGCCTTGAGGGTCATGGTTTGCTCATCCTGGCAGAACAGACTGCTACAAACGTTTAGGCTTAGACGCGCAGCTCACCATCTGCCTGCGCCATCACCCCTCAAATACCTGGTAACCAATCAGCCAACGACTGAAATGCACTACCCATAAAGCACTGCTAACTTGCGTGAGAGTGTCGCTGATGGAGTTGAGACAGCGGTGCTCTACAGTAGGTGGGCTAACTCATGAAATCTCAACAGAAATTCGGAAATGTGTTTCAGTTTCGAAAGGATTAATTAGGTATGGTTGTAAATCCAATCATCGCGCGGCATAATTCTATAACAATTCGGCTACCCCAGGACGCTGGCTCTTGAGCAAACTTTATTCCGCCTGCATCTAAAAACCATACTCCATAAAAAATGACTACATATGTAGCATATATTTTTTCAGTGATTTTCGATGCAGGATTTCAAGTATGCAACACTCTTGCATTTATACAAATGAACAGGAAACCGCCAAATCTGCGACAAATACAAAGGCATCTCTTTGCTGACTGTCATCGGGAAAATGTTCGCTCGCATCCTTCTCAACCGTCTTCATAATCCTTGAAAGGAAAGTCCTACCGGAAAGCCAGTGCGACGTCTGTCATCATCGTGGGACCACGGACAAGAGATGTGTCAGTGATGCGGATCCACCTGTACCCTAAGCTGGATCTGACGAAAGTCTTCAATATCGTGAATCGGGAAGGATTGTGGAAAATCGTGCAGAAATTCGACTGTCCCGAACGATCCACGCAGATGGTGTATCTGTTCCACGACGCCACGATGGCACGAGTCACGGAAAATGGAGCCACCTCAGAGTCGTTCGTAGTGAACAATGGAGTGAAACGGGGCTGCATCCTCGCACCCGCCACCTTCAGCCTTATGTTCTCTGTCATGCTGACGGACGCCTGCCAAAACGTACGCCCCCGCGCACAGAATGAACCCTTTCCATCTGAGCAGTCTACGATGGGTATTGTGGCTGAAGTGGCCGGCCCTCGAGTGGTCAATTACTTTAGTCAGGCCATGCCTCAGCACAGAATATGGAGTGGCATGTCGTTGCACTTATTGATAGGCTGAGGTCCCGTGAAGCATAACTCAAGCAACTCGCGGCTCACGCGATTAGCCCCTCTCGCGAGAATTTCGGCCTCTGCTTTCAAAGTCATACCATTTCAATTATATCTGGCTCCTGATTGGTCAGTTTCTATGTTAACAGCCACAGTTATCCTGAATAAAAGCTTTTATCGTTATACACAGGCTTTGAAAATCGAAGAATTCACATTGCTGACTTTGGTGTAAGTTATACACCAATGTCTCGAACGATACGCCCAATCAGATGTACTGCCTGACAAAACAAATATAATGC